ATTTTGTTTATAGTATAGCAACCAGCCTAGTTCTCAGCACGTTTCATCACTTATCACTTTCTATCTCTAAAGACCTCACAAGCTAATGTTTTGTCTTTTTCTGTAAGCACAGTAAAGAATAGGGGAAGGCAGAAGACAATCTAGCACAGGCTTTGCTCGTGGTGCTGATTTCTAATGCCTGTGTGCTCTGATTGGGACAACTGGGCAGGACTGCATCAAGGGCTAGTGGACACAGACATATGGTTTGCTTCTGAAGTTATTATTAATATTATTATAATACAGGATTCTGTCAGGGGATCCCAGCGCAGGTGACCCCACACCTGCACAGGTACCCTTACAGGCAGACCAAACACATGTGACCACACGGACCAGGTAAGTATGGTATATATAAATATTTTAATAAACCTAGCAAGCTAACTAAAACAATTCACAACAGGCATAAACCAAAAATGTAACAACACAGGAAACCGGGTAACACAGGAAACAGGGTACTAAAATAGCATGCAAATATCAGGTTCTCAGGGTTCAGGCCAGAGGACTCAGACAACAGGGGAAAGCAACGAAATTCTGAGCCAAGGTCCAGACTGCAGGGAGGGTTTAAATACCCTCCCAGGAGTATTACCTAATGGGCTGATTCCTGGCAGCTGGGAGACACCCACAGGTGAGCACTGGAGCTGCAGGTACCAGCACCACCCAGTGGTGGTCTGGTACCTAGCAGCCCCTGGCTGCCTGGAGAATCCTGCAGGTGAGCCCAGGAACTGCAGGGCTCAGCTCCAGCGCCACCTGGAGGCGCTCTGGATCCTAACAGATTCATAGAGCGCTAACACTTTACAATATTAGGGAGGGCATTACAGTTACAATACAAATCAAGATAATATGGTAAGGAGGGCATGAAAAGAATCTTAACAGATATGAAATGCAGTGTTTGAATTAGGGATGCACTGAAATGTTGGCCACTTTGGGGAAAATGGTACATTGGGCAACATGTTTAAAGTACCATAACAGCCCAAAATACGGCTAAAAATTATTTGCATCCCTAACTTCTCTCCACTCGGCACCAATCTGTGTCCTGTCTGATCCCCGCTGCTTTCCCCTGCCCGTGTCGTCAGAGGCAGCGGGGATCAACGGCAATCAGCGGGGAGGATAGAAGGTTTCAGGAGGCCTAGCGGGAAGCTCAGAATGACGAGCAGGGAGGTGCAGGGCAGACACAGCTGTCACCAGAGCTAACCCTCCTACCGCACCGCCCCATTTGGCCCCTGTGACAGCGAGTTAGGATGGAAAGAGGAGTACAAACACTCAGTGATCACCTGATCACTGAGTGTTTGTAAAAAAACTGTGGGCATAGTATGCTTACTGTGTCCCAAGTTATGGATGAATAGGAAGTGCTCTACATCACTTCCTGTTCATTCATGATTATGGACATAGTAACTAATTCTATATCCACATTTTATGAATGGACAGGAACACTCAGTGTAGAGGCTTCCTGCTCATTCATAACAGTGGCTGCAGAATAGGAGATTGTGGACTCTGTGTCTGTATAGACCCCTAATATTTCCCCAAAGCCCCAGACATTAAAGTAAAAAGCAATTAAAAAAACAATTAAATATAATTTAAAAAATGTAAAAAGGTTGTAAAAAATTTCATTTTCGGTTTTTGGCCTGACAAATTTTTCTTCTTTTGGTTTTGGTCTAAAAATTTAATTTCTGTGCATATTTAGCTTGAATTTTAACTGACCTTTTGGTGTAGTGTACTCTTGTGTTTGTTGCTTTTGCAATGCATCATCTTACTCTGTCCTCTGCACAGCACAACTGACAGGCATAACTAATGAAACAGGAACACAGCCCATGACACTTTTGGACAGCCTTTTGGAACCCATATATCCCCCAAAATTGGGGATGTCATGTTAGCCTACCCAAGTGTTTTTTTTCTATGAAATCAAAGCAGTGAGACCATCATAACGTTTTTGATAGTCCCCAAATATCTATAAGTTGCACAAGGTAAAAATGAAGACAGAGTAAGGTAATGCATTGCAAAAGTGTACAAGTGTACACTATGCCATAAGGTCAGTTAAAATTCAAACACTGCATTTCACACCTAAGGTAAAGTCAATGCGTTACAGGAGTTCAAAAAACCCTCATCATCAGGGCTATGAATATAATAATTGCTATAAATTATAAAACACAAATTACAATCGGTATAATGTATATAAACCTTTGGTAGAATAAGATGAAATAATGAATTAAATACACAAACAATTTATGTAAAAATTCATGCTTTAAAGCAAGAGATTGATTAATAGCTAAAAATAGTGATGATTATAATTATAATACTAATAGCTCATTGTTAACATGCTAGGAGAAAAAAATATTAAGTACAAAAATGAACAACAAAATTATAAAAGAGAATATCAAAAAACATTACACAGGATGATAACAGTTTTATCATCCTGTATCAAGTTTTGCCATTTTATATTAAAGGTTTTTATATATGATATATATAATTTATCTATTATATTTTTAACCCTAATAAAGGTCTTTTAAACCCCTGAAATGACCTATAACAGGATCCATCACCCTACTACCTAATGTATAGTTGTTTTTTTTGTAGCCCATTAAAGAGATTTCCCTTCACTTTATGTCCCAGATACACAACAGAAAGTGAAAATCTTTAAAAAGTGAGGGGGAATTTCCACTTAGATATCACTAGAACAATTTACCAATTTGGAAGAAATTACCTCAACTTCTGTTCTGGTGACAACTGTAAAATAAAAAAATGGGGATTTTCCATCACTTTCTGTACTGTGACAGTGGTCATTAACCCCTTCGTGACGGGAGACGTACAGATAGGAGAAAAAAATATTAAGTACAAAAATGAACAACAAAATTATAAAAGAGAATATCAAAAAACATTACACAGGATGATAACAGTTTTATCATCCTGTATCAAGTTTTGCCATTTTATATTAAAGGTTTTTATATATGATAAATATAATTTATCTATTATATTTTTAACCCTAATAAAGGTCTTTTAAACCCCTGAAATGACCTATAACAGGATCCATCACCCTACTACCTAATGTATAGTTGTTTTTTTTGTAGCCCATTAAAGAGATTTCCCTTCACTTTATGTCCCAGATACACAACAGAAAGTGAAAATCTTTAAAAAGTGAGGGGGAATTTCCACTTAGATATCACTAGAACAATTTACCAATTTGGAAGAAATTACCTCAACTTCTGTTCTGGTGACAACTGTAAAATAAAAAAATGGGGATTTTCCATCACTTTCTGTACTGTGACAGTGGTCATTAACCCCTTCGTGACGGGAGACGTACAGTGTACGTCCCGTCACAAAGTGGCTATATGACTGGCCACGTACACTGTACGTGCCGAGTTATATTAGCCTCTGTAATGCTGGTAACTGCTGATTCTCAGCAGTTCCAGTCATTAATTAATGCCTCACTATTGAGACATTCATTAATGAAATAGTTAAGCTTTTTTAAAAGCTTCTTTCTTTCATTAATGAAAGAATGAAGCCTTTACATTCAGATACGGGTTCGCTAAATAGCGATCCCGTATCTGACAGCTGAAGATAGCAGAGAGGTAGCAGTGACTCACCTCTCTGCTATTCGTTTTGACAGCTGGAGAGCCTGGCCCGATGTTAAATGATACATTTCAACCACTAGATACAAAATGTATCTCTTGAGTGAAATGTATCAGTTTTGATCGTCTAGGAACGATCAAAGACCTTTAGTGAGATCTGATTCTGACATGCTGTCAGGATCAGTCTCTAAAGTTATTATTAGCTGTTCCTAAGCTTGGAGCAGCCTGATAATAACTAAAAATTTTAAAAAGTTAATTTATTAAGCAGTCATAGTGATTGCTTGATATAAACTGACAAAAAAATGTCAGTTTTACACTTATTTTTTTTACAAAGTGTAAAAAAAAAAAAAAAGTGTACAAAAAATTAGGAAAATAAAACTTTTATATGTAAATATATTTGTATACTATAATAATTATTAAAAAAATTCTAAAAATAATAATAATAATCAAAACTTGCTGCTGTGGAAGGATCACACAGCAAAAATGTAAAAAGTGTGTCAGTCATTTAGGAACAGAAACTAAAAACTAGCTCAGTCATGAAGGGGTTAAAGCAAATAGAATGGTGGGTATCCCATGTAGGAAAACAGGTAGCAATCAAATCCAATGGTTTTAACTAGCGATGCACCGATACCGTTTTTTCGGTATCGAGTACCGATATTTTTTTTTCACCATTCGCCGAGAATGAATACTGATACTGGAAGTCCCAGTAAGGAAGCCAGGCGGTGTGTAATGACTCACCACCTGGCTTCCTGACTAGCTGGGAAGCCGGGCGGTGTGTAAAGACTCACCACCCGGCTTCCTAATTAGCAGGAAAGCCGTTTCCATGCTTCCGGCATGGAGCCAGCTTTCTGCCAATCAGGAAGCCGGGCGCCGTGTAATGACGTGTTGCCCAGCTTCTTGATTGGTCGAGAAGCTGGCCAATCAGGAAACCGGGCAATGTGTCATTACACGCCGCCCATGTTCCTGATTGGCCGGGAAGCCGGTTCCATGGTCCCTCATCACCAGGTGACGAGGGAGCATTGGGGACGGCTTTCCTGCTAATCGGGAAGCTGAGTTGTGAGTCTTTACACGCCACCTGGCTTCCCAGCTAGTCGGGAAGCTAGGTGGCAAATCTTTACATGGCTTCCTGGCTTCCTTAATCGGACTTCCTGTATCAGTATTCGGTATCGGCGAGTGGCGGAAAGAAATATTGGTACTCGATACCGAAAAACCGGTGCATCCCTAGTTTTAACCTTTCAACTGTGTATATAAAACACAAACAAAATGTTTTCACTTCAGATACATTTTGATAGTGTCCTTCCCAACTTATAATTGACTTCAAACTTTGAGTGTAATCCATTGCTTTTGGCTTCATATTTCACAATAGTACTAATTTGTTTGTACAACTATTCCTTTTCCCAGGGCTCTTGCTGATGTGATGAGACAACAGGGCCATTGCTCGATAGACCACATGGAGAGAGATGCAAACCTTGTAGTTCACATGCAGCACTATGAAACCATGCAATCCCGACCATCTGCCAACAACTTACGTGAGTTTTATTACATGGACTTAATTGTTCGGCGATAAGACAGCAGTTGAATGTGTAAACTGCTAAACACTTTAAATGTGTTTTTCATGTAGTTTAATTTGTTTCTCATGCTGGCAGTTACAAAATTGCACTGTCAAAAGTGTGTTTGTGCTTATTTGACATAACTCTGTTATGCCATATGTCCCCTGGTGGTTTGGCAAGCTCAAAGTCAACTGAGGTCATTCTCACATTGATAACTGCAGCTGGGTGTATGCTCTTTTTATCTACAAATGGATTTTATGTGCATTTGTATGTTCTTGTCTTCTATCATTTTAACCTTGGCTGCAACCAGCAAGTGTTTTTTTTTTGTAAAGCCGAACTGGGCTTGTTTTAAGACAGGAATCTTACTGTGTAGCTATTCTGCTTTGTTGTTTATAGAGCTAAATACTATGCATATTTATTTACACAAACTCTTCTTTTTAGTTCCTTTGTAATTTCTTACAGGGTTATTCACAAAAGGGTGAAGCTTTTGGAGAAGGCAGGAAAAGTGAACAATCTAGGCCAAAATAGCTGAAGTGTAACGTGAGCTGAATTGCAGAATTTTTTCCAAATCAGCTATTCTGGCCTAGATTATTCACTTCTCCTGCCTTCTCCAAACTCTTCACCTTTTTGTGCATAACGTGTTACTATTTACCTTGCCCAAACAAATGAAGGGCAAATCCAAAATGATTTACCAAGTGCAGATTAGTGGGGCATACATTACTGTAGTTTAAAACTAGTTTAGAACATGCTATACATAACTGATCCATTCACAGTAGTTGATTTGACTTTTATAGGGACTTTTTAAATTTTCTTTTAAAAAGCAAATGTGGAGTTGGGGGGAAACAAAAGACCACTGTCTAAAATGTTCCAATCTAATCAGTAGACTTTCTTTATTAAAGGCAGTCCAAGGTTGCATGCTGCATTTGTCTATACCTGATAGGTCCACCATTTCACTTTTGCAGATCATTTGTCACCCTAACATGTTAAAATCACAGAAATCAGGGAGAAAACACTTGCTTATGTGTTAAACTAATGTTGATTGTATTGGATAGTATTCGGTAAATAACAGGTTGCTAGTTACTACCTGGCAACAACTCATAAATAATTTTGCATATCATTTCTTGTTTTCAGTCATAATTAGGCAATTGTGTTCAAATACTTCTTTTACTTGCTAAAATAGAGTATTTTGGTTTGAAGTGTAATAGCAGCTGCAAAGTATTGTTCACCCATTTACATATATACTTTTTTGCCACTGCAAAATCCTTTTACAGTGTGCTGTGCTTCTAAATATTACATAATTAATAATGTATAATATTGGAAAATCAGTAAATATTACATATACCATATAATATGGGAAGGTCACCAAATGAGTAACACTAAGGGGACAGCAAAGCAGATAAATACTCATTTAAAATAAATAAATAAAATAAATAAATACTTATTTTGTTTATAGATTAAATGTTACATGGCACAGATTACTAAGCACAGCAGGCTATAATGTAATATAATGTTATTACTATTATTAATACTATCATTATTCAGATGTGAACCAGGAGAAATTACTTATGATGAGCATTTCCACAATGTTCAGCAGAGGTTTAAATTACCTTCTTGCATCTTTTACTATTTAAGAATGAAAAATGAGATTTGTGGTGAATTTTAAGTTAAGTGTATGTCAGTAATCTTTCTCTCATAACACTTTATTTCAAAGAAAGGAAACCTGTACTGAGTAAAAATGTAGGCCATCATATGCATAAAATGCAGTTTAGGTTACTGTTTATAAAACAGTTTACAACCTTTACATAAGGTATGTGCATAATACTTCCTTTACAATGGTTATGGTTCTATGTTTTTTGTAAATAAATGTATGTTTACTGTTTGTGGTTTTCTGTATGTCTTCTTATTTTGTATGTATGGATGCTGCATAGTAGCACTGCTGTTGTTCTGTATATTGGGTATAATTCTCAGTATTTGTTCTTATTTGGTATGTATTGATGCACAGTACCACTTTTATCTTGTATGCTGGGTGTAATTCTCAGTGCATATTATTATGTCTGCATGCTCAATGCATAGTGCTTCTTCTCTTGTAACCTACCATCTGTTAATATCTGTTAATGCACTACACAACATCCAATGTCTGCTCAATATCTGTTTTTCTGTGTGTATTAATAAGAATGGGGTGCATTAAGCCACGCCCATTAAACTGTTTAGCAACATCCACTTTATGCCACGGCATGTGTCTCTCTTTTCACCCTATAGACTGTTTTATAGAGTATATAGGCTGACATCTCTGGCATAATTATTCTGAGGGGCAATCTTTCTTCATCAGATGTTGAACAGCAATTGACAGGCAATCATATACAGTAATACCTTGGTTTACAAGTAACTTGGTTTGAGAGTGTTTTGCAAGACAAGAAAACATTTCTGAAAAATTTTGCCTTGATATACAAGCAATATCTTGCAATAAGACCAAATCTTTGTAGAAAAGCACCACCCGAATAAGCCTGGCTCGATGAATCTGTTTAACGACAATGCAATGTCACATTGGATAGATTCCTTGTTAAGGTTTCACAAAATGAAAAATATTCCATTGAGTCAAGAGATAGCAGTGATTCCGTTAGTGATAGTGAAAGTCGTCCTACACAATAATCCTCCTCTCTCTTGTTCCCCTCACCCCAGCCACGAAGGTACCGGTAATTGGTTTATTTTTCTTTATATTTTGTACTGTATTATATTACAGTACTGTATTGTAATCATTGTTATATGAATATTTTTGGGTTGTGGAACGAATCATCTGAATTTCTATTATTTCCTATTGGTAAATTCGCTTTGATATACAAGCGCTTTGGATTACCAGCATGCTTCCGAAACGAATTATGCACGTAAACCAAGGTATTACTGTACAAACTGACATCCTATCAGACAGAAACTGTAAAGAGTTGATGAAAAGCATACTAGTCATGCCCGAATGTAGCCTATGAGGTCTCTCTTATTAAGAACAGATAATAAAAAATAATCTAGTCATATTTCCTTGCTTTTAGTGATGGTGGTCTCCCAGAAACAAAAAAGCCTAGTCTTGTGGATAGACAGTCCAATAGGCAACTTAATGGTTGCTAGGTAACCTTTCTGCATAGCAAAGTCTAGGATTCTATTTTTGAAAATAAGTAAATAAATATATTTTATTGTTGCAATTTTTTTTGCAGAGCAGTCCTTGAAGCATATTTTAATTGGGATTATCTAATTATAATGTAATGCTTTCTGAATCACTGACAAAACATGATCATGGACATGCATATAAAAATGTCTGAGTTTCCCCTGACTATAATGATGATGTAATGATGACTAATTTGAAAGACAACCAAGTTGCACTTAATTTAAAATGAATTGAGGGTGCATTAATAAGCTGGGGTTGAGTAGGCACTACAGTGGCTCTGTGCCAAACCATTATGTATTTTTTCAGTTATATTCTCAGTTATATACTGTAATGCCTTGCTTCCCAGGGGTACGTATAAGGATCTCAAATGTGGAGTGGGAGTTCTATGTGGAGGAATGGGTATCAGTCTATGCAGCTCAGTCTCCAATGCCCTGTATTTGTAGAGACTGAGAGGGAGCTGCTTCACATCATACCCTGCATGGAGGAGGGAGTTTGAACAGTCAAACACAAGTCCAGCAATTTGGCTAGACAGCTTACCAGGCAGATCAATTGGGATTCACAGTCGTAGCTGACAATATGCAAAGTCAATGGAATATGGAACAACAGAAATATCAAGCAGGGGTAACGGTAATGAGCAATTGTTGAAGCGTATATGCAATGTCAAGGAGTTCAGCACAACCGCAATATCACGCAGAGTTAAATACGATGAGCAGTAGTTAAAGAATATATGCAATGTAAAAGGAGTTCAGCACAAGCACTATCATGCAGGGTTTAATGCTAGGAGCAATAGTTGAAACATATATGAAATGTCAAAGGAGTTCAGCACAGCAATATCATCCAGTCTCAGATGGGTCCTAGCCCATATACTTGCAGTTTGTGGAGTCTTCCGGAAACCGTGAGACCCAGGAGGATTTGCTGTGCATTTAGATAGGGTCCGGATGGAAGTCAAGGGGGACAGCTGATTGATCAGAGTCCTGCTACAACCAACAGTAGGACGCCGATCAATTAGTGAGCAGCGGCTTTAAGCCGACTGCGCGAACGAAGTGGGGCGGAGTCCTGAGGCGCGCTTGCGCAGTGCGACTTGGGAGTCCCGAGGCGGTCCGCAACCCAGAATGACCGTCACATATACATACCTCCCAAATGTCCCTCATTTGGAACCAAATCTCTCTGTCACTCTTTCCTCCTCAATTGTCCCTCTTTTGGTCTGATGTACAGATATCTATGAAAATTTACTATTCAACTACCAAAAGTGGTAGTACTTACTTAAACCTTTATCCAACCTCTTAATTATCGTGTTTGCTGTTTTGAAAAACCAGTATAAAGGAGTAATGTGGAAAACAACAATTCTGGGTTTTACAAAAAAATTTTTGCATACAAATTCCTAATGGTGTGCATAACTGTGGTCAAGGCAGGGTTGCATCCATTGCATAAATACATTGTGCTAGAAAGTGTCCCTCTTTCTCCTCTCAGAAAGTTGGGTGGTATTGTTATATATTTTGGTTCTACGTTAACTAACAGGGTTATTCACAAAAGGGTAAAGAGTTTGGAGAAGTGAACAATCTAGGCCAAAATAGCAGATTTGGAACAATTCTCTAATTCAGCTCACTTTCCAGTTTAGCTAGATTGTCCTAGATTGTTCACTTCCCCTGGCTTCTCCAAACTTGTCACCCTTTGGTGTTTAACCCTGTAAATCTTTCCAGGGAAAATCATGGAGGTTGCCACTGATTTCTTATGGAAATGGTAACAGCCTGGCTATTATGTTTACTAGGGATGCACCGATACCGGTATTTTGGTACCGAGTACGAGTACCGATAATTTTTTTTGGTACTCGCCGATACCAATTACCGAGTAACGGAAGTCCCA